GAGTTACAAAAACAGTCGGTTATGTCTGTGAAGGTAAACAGCTGGGAAATAAATCGCTTGTTTATTTTTATCTGTGTGGCAGCAGCAATATACAGTAAATAAATCAATAAATCCACTGCTCTCTTGTCTCCTCTGAGGCTGGGACTCTAAACAGTGTTCTGCGCAGCCAATGACAGAACAGTTAGCATGCTTTGCTCAAACTTTCGTTGTGGCATTCGAGCTGGTACACCGTTGTCGCTTGCAAAATCAAAATGACGGCACCGTTGGTGTAAACTTAAAGATTAAGGGACGGTAATATTATAATGAGATCCCTTTGCCACGTCACCATGGGAGCTAAATCTGACCAGAAAAAGGCTTACCAAAACAAAGTTACTAGGTTAATCTTTTTCACGTTTCCTTGGTTGGTAGATGGACCGGGGACCTGATTATAGCACTTAAAACCTGGAAAAGTCAGATTTTCATGATATGTCACCTTTAAATCTGAAGTGCCTGCTATTACTGAAATATGGGAACTTTTGACTTTAGCCAATAAGCAATCACATAGCAATGCCTTGAACCGACCATAACACTCTAGTATTGTGAGTGCCAACTTTTGCATGAGCAAACAGGATTTATATTTTCTTCAGAACTCACTCTGTATGTTTTTCAGTGTGTTTGTTTGCAATGATGTGAAACACTTGACCTGTATTCATCACATGACTCACAGTGAGTACAAATAAAGCCTTCAAAATACAGCAGCTGATGTGAGACTGCCCTTGAATTGTTATCAACCATCTCTTTGTAATAAAAAAGACTTATGTAATGAAGTTTTGTATTTTTTGCATAAGCCTATTTCGACCTATTTATGCCCAAGACAATAAACTATGACGTTAATTCAAGATCTATTCCCCAAAAATACATATCTTTCACAATTTTGCTTCTTATGTAAATGGATCTTATTTTAACAATGTTTAGACATTTTGTACTGGGAAAAAAATACAAAAAAATAAAGAATAAAATACATATGTGATGTTGGATGGTTTTTGGGTGGATGTTGGAGGATCATCTCACACTCTTAAATAAGCACACACACACACACACACACACACACACAAACTCCAAAAACTCAAAACTTGTGAAAAATGTGTGTGTAAAATAATTTCTCTGTGCTGAAAACAGCAGAAAGCCACTGCTTGGGTTTATATTCCCAACAACCAAACCTTGACCTAAATACACATAGAGACACATGGTTCAAACACACAACTGACAGGTGATAAGATATTGATTTCACCAGAGAGACACACACACAGAGAAACTGCGTCACTGCACATAATGCTGTCACTGAATTTTACTGACATAAGTAACTGAGTCAAAATACAACCCATTGCATAAGAGGTCAGGGGTCAGGGACAGTAACTGTGTGAAAAATTAGCTGATATGTCACTGTAAAGTTAGTCTAGCAGATAGCGCCGTCTGCTGTTTGTGGTTGAAAATGGGATAGAAATCAATTCACTTCTTGCTTTTATCCACCTTATTTTTCAAGGCAGGAGTAACCTATTTTCTATAAATGTGCAAGAATTACGATTCATAAGTCGCTATAGGTGAAGAAGTGTAGTAAACAGTAAAACTATTTGTGCAACAAACAGTGTGTTTAGAATTATGACAGTACTTTAAAATAATAATAGGCTACCAGTTTGCAATAGGCCTACAGTTTGCAATTTTGTACAGCTACAAGTGGATAAATAAGGTGGATAAACACGAATAAGATATCAAAATATATAATAAAACATAATGAGTTAAAATGATCATCATAGTAAACATTTCCCCACATAGAGGAAGTAACAACAACGGAGTACGTTCCTTTAAGACATAGGGTAGTGTGCGAATTTAACTCTTTTTTCTTTCGTTTTTATTCAATTTTTATTTTTTTCCTCATTGATTTTCGGAAAACTGTCAGTTGAAGTTCGTCTCACGCAAGGCAACTAACTTTTTAGTCGTTTTTAAAAACACCAACGATTTGTATGATATTTCTGATACAGGTGAACCTATAATAACGTGAAAAATAATGACAGTTTCATGTTTGTCGATTTAGGGATTGAGCGGATGTTGCTATGCTAATATGGTTAGCAACTTCCCGTGATTTCTGTTCACGAACATAGACACACAGCTGAAGCGTATATTCTTACATTTAAAAAGCGTACATAATTTAGGACCTTTTCTGGAGCTACTTTTGCACGAAATAATTTTAAAAGGACCATTTTTGATGATAACTCAAGGCCATCGCTAACTGCATCGTAGGTCACGGATAACAAGGTACTGTACTATAGGCCTGTTTGAAACGTTTATAGTATACTAAAACTATGTCCACAAGGGGACGTTATTGTTTAACAAGTAATAAAATAATCAACAATAAATTCTTATCTTTCACCAGGTTCCTTGCCAGTTTGATGAAAAGTCTTTGTTGTGGTGCCATATTACTCCTTCCTAATATGAGCTGCAGAGGTCAGTACCAATAAACTACAGTTGAGGTGTGTATTCATTGTATGCTATGTGCAAATAATATAATAGGAAATCATTTATACTGTATTTATGGCTGTATATGCTGTAAAATCTGAATTCTAATTGGCTGAAGTTCTCAAAATGATACAGAATCCTGGAGCTCATAATGAAAAATCATCTTCTGCCTCACACATACACACACACACACACACACACACACACACACCCCTACAGAGCTAACAGTATTTTCTATAAATGTGCAAGAATTACGATTCATAAGTCGCTATAGGTGAAGAAGTGTAGTAAACAGTAAAACTATTTGTGCAACAAACAGTGTGTTTAGAATTATGACAGTACTTTAAAATAATAATAGGCTACCAGTTTGCAATAGGCCTACAGTTTGCAATTTTGTACAGCTACAAGTGGATAAATAAGGTGGATAAACACGAATAAGATATCAAAATATATAATAAAACATAATGAGTTAAAATGATCATCATAGTAAACATTTCCCCACATAGAGGAAGTAACAACAACGGAGTACGTTCCTTTAAGACATAGGGTAGTGTGCGAATTTAACTCTTTTTTCTTTCGTTTTTATTCAATTTTTATTTTTTTCCTCATTGATTTTCGGAAAACTGTCAGTTGAAGTTCGTCTCACGCAAGGCAACTAACTTTTTAGTCGTTTTTAAAAACACCAACGATTTGTATGATATTTCTGATACAGGTGAACCTATAATAACGTGAAAAATAATGACAGTTTCATGTTTGTCGATTTAGGGATTGAGCGGATGTTGCTATGCTAATATGGTTAGCAACTTCCCGTGATTTCTGTTCACGAACATAGACACACAGCTGAAGCGTATATTCTTACATTTAAAAAGCGTACATAATTTAGGACCTTTTCTGGAGCTACTTTTGCACGAAATAATTTTAAAAGGACCATTTTTGATGATAACTCAAGGCCATCGCTAACTGCATCGTAGGTCACGGATAACAAGGTACTGTACTATAGGCCTGTTTGAAACGTTTATAGTATACTAAAACTATGTCCACAAGGGGACGTTATTGTTTAACAAGTAATAAAATAATCAACAATAAATTCTTATCTTTCACCAGGTTCCTTGCCAGTTTGATGAAAAGTCTTTGTTGTGGTGCCATATTACTCCTTCCTAATATGAGCTGCAGAGGTCAGTACCAATAAACTACAGTTGAGGTGTGTATTCATTGTATGCTATGTGCAAATAATATAATAGGAAATCATTTATACTGTATTTATGGCTGTATATGCTGTAAAATCTGAATTCTAATTGGCTGAAGTTCTCAAAATGATACAGAATCCTGGAGCTCATAATGAAAAATCATCTTCTGCCTCACACATACACACACACACACACACACACACACACGCCTCCAGAGCTAACAGCTGGACACAATAAACAAAATCTCCTGTCCTTCTTTCGACTGTTTTTCCACAGTATTGTGTTTCACGAAGCACGCTGATCATGTGAAACCTGTTTGGATGTATTAGCAGATCTGACAAACAGAAAGCCAGGAATATTAGTGCTTTTAAATGATCCAAACGCTTCGTGACAGAACTTCACCTGCACCAGAAATGCGCAAAATCCTCTGAATTCTTCCATTACGTGAGAGAGAGATTGTGAAACTTTCAAACCTGCACTGATTCAGAGAGAAAGACCTAACACAGACACATTTCCATAACTACATATTCATGAATCTGACAAAACAAAGGAAGCTCTAATGACTACTCAACCATTCTGACCTCATGGCAAAGTATCATATTTGAGAGAATGACCCATATTTTTAGTAGGCTCGTTATTTTGCTATTTTCGCCTTTATTGTTGACAATGACGTTTGTTGTTGTTTGAATGCCAATTCAGATGGCACAAACCTGTGCATTGCATAATATTAGAGCTTTTGCAAATAATCTCATGCATGCATTCCTCCTCCTTTCTCTCTCTCTATGGACATACCTGCACTGATCAGAGGAAAGGAGAGATTATGCCGCAGTAATCTGATTTATAGAGGAGAGTTTTTCATTGTGATGTCACTGCACTGGAATGTGGCGTGTTTGATGAATAACGAGTGGAATTCAAACCAGGAAAGCGCTCGTTATCCCAGTGTGGAGGAGTTTTGCATCATGATATAAGCACGAAATCTGTCCAGCATCCCACAATGCCTCGCATCCCCCAACCGAAGGCCACAGCAAAACCTAAAGAACTCGTTTACCCAAATTTATGATCCGCTGCGCAAATTTGCACCGATTTGGCAATGCGTCGAAAATGAATCACATTTACTTTCCTTGTTTTTGCACAATTCAATAAGAAGAACAACTTTTGATTTAAGAGAACAATGTGTACAAAGTCCGTCAAACCTTATGTTGTTTCTGGCTGCGTGTAGAACCTGCCACTCTGCAGATTTAAAGGGTCACTTTTCAGACCGATGAGCTTTGTAAAAATCGACGCGCTTCAGAAAGGCAGGGCATAGAGGATAAACAATAATGTACAGTATGTAGAAAATAATGTGTTTTTTAACCTTAAACCGCATAAACACATTTCATTACACCAAATACACAAAATAATGTTCTTTTTAGCAGCATCATATGACCCCTTTAACAAATTCCCATTTCCTTTAATGCAATATTAACAGTTTCAGTGCAGATTGTTTTATGGTTATGTCACAATATGATGCAGCTTTGCAAAGAGGCTGTTATTAAAGAACGAGGCAGTTATAAACTATAAACACAACTGCAAATAACTACGAAAACTTGTTTCGGTCACAGGATATAAGAACAAAAAGGTAATTGCAACTTTTTATCTAATACAATTCTGAGAAAAAATAAAATAAAACTCAAAATTACAAATTATAAGCACAGAATTGCTAGTTTATATATTTATATATTTTTCTGTTTCTGCCATGGAATAAAAAAAAAGGAATTGCACATTTTTTATCTCTCAAATCTGACATTTTACTTGCAATTGTGAGTTTGTACTTCAGACTGTGACTTTTTCTCTCAGAATTAAGATGAATTATCCCACAATTATGAATTTTGGTTTCTGCCAGCTTTTTCAGACCGATGAGCTTTGTAAAAATCGACACGTTTCAAAAAGGCGTGGCATAGAGGAGAAACAATAATGTACAGTATGTAGAAAATAATGTGTTTTTTAACCTTAAACCGCATAAACACATTTCATTACACCAAATACACAAAATAATGTTCTTTTTAGCAGCATCATATGACCCCTTTAACAAATTCCCATTTCCTTTAATGCAATATTAACAGTTTCAGTGCAGATTGTTTTATGGTTATGTCACAATATGATGCAGCTTTGCAAAGAGGCTGTTATTAAAGAACGAGGCAGTTATAAACTATAAACACAACTGCAAATAACTACGAAAACTTGTTTCGGTCACAGGATATAAGAACAAAAAGGTAATTGCAACTTTTTATCTAATACAATTCTGAGAAAAAATAAAATAAAACTCAAAATTACAAATTATAAGCACAGAATTGCTAGTTTATATATTTATATATTTTTCTGTTTCTGCCATGGAATAAAAAAAAAGGAATTGCACATTTTTTATCTCTCAAATCTGACATTTTACTTGTGAGTTTGTACTTCAGACTGTGACTTTTTCTCTCAGAATTAAGATGAATTATCTCACAATTATGAATTTTGGTTTCTGCCAGGCAAAAAAAAAGGTAAGAGTAATTGTGACATTTATCTCACAATTCTGACTTTTTTTCTTGCAATTGCGAATTTGTATGTCACAATTCTAACTTTTTTTTCCCATCAGAACTGTGCTTTTATCTGCCACTAAATTAAAAAAAAGGTAATTATGACTTTTGATCTCGCAGTTCTGACTGAAAATGTCAGAATTGTGAGATGGAAAGTTGCCACTACCAGATGCCAGATTTATTTTTTATCCTGTGGCAGAAACAAGCTTTCATAAATAACGGGTTGTTTAAAGGGTCAAAAAGTTTGGTAAAAAGTGGTTGTGAAAAACTAAATTATGATCAAACCAGCAACCTTCCACTTCTGAGCTTTTTTTAAAGAAGTGTTTTTGAGGGGGAAAAAAGAGGGAAATAGAGTTGTTGAATGATGCAGGCTCTGTGGATAGTATAGGGAGCTGCGAGCGACTGCCGCTCGTCTGTATCTCTGAACTCAAAGTGGCAGTTCGGTGCAAGCATGAAATATTTAACCTGTTAAGTGGAGCTCAACGTGATGGCTTTGATGCGAAAGGAAGCCTGGAGAGACCTGCGAGATAACCGCACACACATGGCTCTATCTCTGTGATCTGCATAGACACACAATAAGGATATAAAATTAATTGTGATGGAAGAGTTTTCACAGTTTAAGCCAAGGTTACTGCTGTTTCAAAAAGTACTGCGATGTTACCATGTTGTTTTGGACTCTTTGGGATTTTTTTGAAGGACACTGAAGTATCAAATTGTATTGCTATCCTACAGTGGCAGTCAAAAGTTGGGAATAATTAAGATTTTTAAATATTTTTTAAATTACAATTGCATTTGAAAGAATGTTGAAATAGAAAATATATATAATAAAAAACATAACTATTCGTACTGTATTTTTTAATCAAATAAATGTCGTTTATAACATAGTATTTCCACCTGATGCAAGGTGATACAAAAAAACACAAACTGTTTCATTTCTGTTTGTTCCTGTGCTGTAATTTAACGGTACTGTAAACAGTGAGTCAAACATCAGCATAAGGAGCTCCAGAGATCAAACAAATCTGCTTGTAAAGGTGAAAGGTCACAGATTTTGGAGTTCTGAATGTTTCCGAGTAATCGACAGACTGATGGTAAACTAAACACTACAGTCACTAGCCTCTCTCTCTCTCTCTCTGCATTCCTCTGGTGTTAGGTAAGAACCTCTCTTGCCAACCCAAGTAAAATGATGTATTCAAATTTCCATGATTCAACTTCCTCATCCTGGTCATCGAGTCCATATAAGGCTAATTTCCATTTCCCTGATGTAATCAGCCTCTGCTTGTTGTAATTGCTTCTCAGTGCTTTCAGATTCATATCACGCAAGTAAATAACTGCACTTCTGTAATAATTGTGGAATTTGTGGTGTTCCGATGTGTTTGTTTGAGTGATACGAGATCATTTTGGTTGATTTGGGCAGAAAACACTATAGCAATGTTGTGGTTTTTATTATTTAAGTGGATTAAGATGTTCTCTAACTTGATTGATTGTTGTTTTGTGTGTGGATGGAGACATATTCTACACTTCCTGGAAGTCCTCTCATAATCTTAGTCATTGTTTTGTTCAACCAAAACAGCCATGATTTACTTTTACAATGATTTTCTTTCTTCAAAATGAATCTTTTGTACACTACCATCCAAACATTTTGGGTTGGTACGAATTTTTTATATTTTAGAAAAAAATACCTTTTGCTCACCACGGCTGCATTTATTTTATAAAAAAAATAAAAAATAAATAAACAGTAAAATTAGGAGAAATTATTAAAATGTAAATCAATGGTTTTGTATTATAATCTGTTTAAAAATGTAATTTATTCCTGTGATGCAAGGCTGAATTTTCAGCATCATTACTCCAGTCGTAAGTGTCACATGACCCTTCAGAAATCATTAGGATATGCTGATTTGTGCTGATAATAAACGTTCCCAAGGGACGTTTATTGTCAATCTTGATCAACAGTTGTATGGCTTAAATTTTTTTTCCTGATTAAATTTTTTTTTTTTGTGAAAAAGATGTTTTGCAAAATTACAAATGCTTTTACTGTCACTTTTCATCAATTTAATGCATCCTTGAATAAAATGAATGAATGAATAAAATAATTGATTTCTTAAAAAAAAAAAATCTTACTGACCCCAAACTTTAGTGTACTTGTTCCTGCTCTAAATGTGCAAGAATCAAAGAGCACTGAGAGCATTTTGGAAATATAAAGTTATTAGAAATCATCCATTTTCAATGAAAGTTAGCAATTTAAAACGCCATGAGCAAACATTTGGCGCAAAGTTGACCTTTTCATGCAAGTGAGCAGCAATGGGAAGCAGCAACATCTACTAACACAAAACAGTCCAGCAGTTTGATGACATCCAGCAGTTTATTCAGTGTCAGTTTGAGTAAATATACATGGAACATTTCAAAAGATCAAGGAAAATTATGTTTTTCATGATATGACACCAAGTTCACCTGATTATGTCTTTAGATTTCCTTTTTCCTGAGCTTTAAATCGCAGACTTTAGGATGTTCTTGTAATAGTGGACCGTTGAGACTCTCCATCAGCACACCAGACAGAATCAGAAGGTTTTTGCTGTTGATTGGGAAGATCGGGCCGATCTCAAGTTGCTATTTGTCCAGTGGAATGTCTGTCATTTGAGTCCCGCCTCCTCTGTCTGTCCAAACAGGAAACACAGTGTGACACGAT